AGAAGGGAGTTGTCCAATGTAAAGTATGTTTATCGGTATTTTAGAAATACCTTCTGTCTAGGAAGGTGTCCACGGTTAAACGTGGTCCCGTGAAGGAGATGCAAGGATCTGTTGTTCTTCGCCCGGAGGAGCGGCACGTTCCGTCTGCATGATGCAAAAGGCGAGCCTCTGACTGCTGTCCGTGGTGCTGAAGATTCCCAGCGGCTTGACAGAATGCGCTCTGGAGGAGCAGTTGCCGAGCTGCCGCTATCCAGGGTCCTGAATCTTGCTGAAAGTTGCTGCCCTGCTTCAGATTCACACAAACCCCAGCGCTTGTTTGGGGAGAGCCTGTAGAAAAGAACAGGGCACAATGGTGCTGCTGCTGACTGCATTTCGGTCTGGATTGGCTCTGAGCTCCAGCATGCTGTTGCTGTTCCTGGAACTGGAAGCATAGCACATTCTCCACCCTTGTGTGCCTTGTTGCAGAGATACACAGCGTAGGGATCCGGTAGGGTTTTTGGGGTGGAACTGAAGCTTGCAGTCGAGGATATAAGAAGAGAAAAGAATAAGGTATCTGCAATGATCCTGCGTTTGGAATGTGGTTTTACACAAGGCAGCCTCACCTCTGGACCCCTTGATGGTTAATTTCTTTGCATTCTGAGCACAGGGTTAAAGCTTAAGTCTCGTAGTAAATCTTGGTTGATTCTGTGAAATGGGAAGCTTTGGGCAACAAGATTTTTCTATGATTCACCCTTGAAAATGAAACTGAGAAGAATTGCTGTTTCTAATACACTACTGAAATATTCATCCATGGTGGCCTGTGACAGTTTCCAGGTTTCCTTCTGAGCAGGTAAGTGCAAATTTATCAGAGAGTGACATGTAAACTTCTCAAGAGCTTCACAGTATATAAACATCACCTTCAATAAATAATAATAAAATTAACTTAATCATGTACTGATAGATTCCAGAGCTTGTTTACTTGTTAAATTTTTGACATAGACAATACCTTTTTGTTCTTACTCCATTTCTTTTCTCTCTGCTGATGAAGTAGTTGTAAAATGTCTAGGATGATCAAAGCCTGTAGGAACATGCTGTTATAAATGTTAACCCCTTTGTGAAAGGTGTTTTCTGTTTAATCACAATACCTGGTTTTGTGAAATTGATTGACTGATATTTTCCCCTTTATAAATAACTTCTTTGCAATTTGCTTGTGTTCTAAAGTTTCCACAGCTTTAAGCATGGCAGACTGAATCCTACCTGTAGCATGCAAGTGAGTCCCTGTTCAGATCTGAAAGACAGGCTAAATGATTTTGCAACAAACACAAGACAGTAGAACAAATACTCTTGCCAGAGCTGTAAAATGTTCACCTATGGTAAAATATATATCTGGATACTCTGAGCAGCCTTCTGAAGCATCCTATTTGTCTCTTCCTTTTTCTGTATAAAAGCAATGGGGGGAGGTCTGCTTTGTCAACAGGATCATTTAGGTTCTTCTTCAGGATACAAGGCTTGCATTTTCCCTGAGTCATTCTTGTTGGGCAGATTTTTTTTAAAAAAACTTTGATTGTATGAAGTTGTATATGTGTTTTTGCATACAAAAGGTACATGTATATGAAAATAATATAATCTATCATAGTTGTAATCTTCATAATAATTTAATGTAGATCACTGTTACACAGTTGGTCTCAGAGAGGAAGATATACAAAGAAGGTAAGGGGGTTGTTTCATTTTTAACTCAAAACTCCATATCTATTTAATTGAAATGCTTCTCTTTATTAGGATTTCATTTTTAATATTTTTAAATATCTATTTGCTGTCCAATTTCATAAAGCAGAAGAAAACTATTATGTTTCATTTCTACTACCATACTCCTTTCTCATCTTCAGTTAGAGTAGTGATACAGGGGAAGGTCTGTATACTCTGGTGAGAGTGATATAAAACTGAGTACGACCAATAGTGAAGCAGGAAGGATGTTAGTGTCTGAGGGGAGGACGCAGTTCTCCTTCATTTTAAAACTAGGCAGTTGATGCAAACTCTCCCCTCTCTGAATACTGTGAACCCTCGGTACATATATGGAGTCTGACACTCAATTCGCATGGCCTGTTAAGATGATTTTACACACATCTTAGATTTTCATAGTGCATAGCGCCTGTGACTTCCTGTTTATCTCTCTTGAAATGCTATTTCTGTCCCAAGCCTGCAAAGGGAAACTAAAATAAATTAATATTTAGTTAATAAACTCAAGTATGTTAAAGACAACCATATGTAACCTCAAAGATACAAAGACCAAAGTGATGTCAAACACTATAGGAGCATCTTGCTATGAAAAAAAACCCTGTATGGACCAGTTCTCAGAATACAAGACAAACGAACAAAACATATTGTTTTTAAAAAAATATTAAGCCTTTTTCATTATGTGTGAGGCCAGAAACAATTAAAATTTAGGTCTAAAAGTCAGTACATTTTAGAATATCTCCCTCGGTCTCTCTTTTTGTTAAAAAAAGCACGTTTTTCATGAAAGCAGCTAAATATTCTTACATCTTGCTGTTAACTGAACCAGCTGAGGTGGGTTGGAAGCTATTTTCAGTTGTAACCTAGTAGTTAGATGGCAGCAATTATTACTCTTGGGCCAAGCTCAATTTCCTCAAATGGAAACAGATGACTCATCCTTTCAGTAATTTAGGGGGGGAAAAACACCTCCATACTGGTGAGGAAACAAATGGGCAAGCCATTCAGCTATAAACAAGCTTGTATTGGTGTATGCATCACAATACATATTCAACAGTTGAATGTGTGGATGCAATGTCTAATGTCTTCCTCCTACAGGAACCTGATTGACATCAATTCTAACCTTATCTGGCTAACAGGAATATTGTCTAATCCAATTTGGATTAACATTCTTTCATAATTTTCTGCTAGTGTGAAAATCGTTCAATTTGACAATTTAATAGTAATATTGAAGTACACGTTGCATGCCATCTAGATGAAATTATATGAATCACTAATTCCTGGTAGCAGACAAATCTTTGTATAACTAAGGGACTATTTAGGTTTATGTGTATATTTTTCAATTGACTTTGTCAATATTACATAGAAGAGTTAATGATGAATTGACCCTACATTAGACTCTTAGGAACTGTTAGAAACACAGGATTTCTAATTAGTTAATGCATGGCATAGTAGATATAAAAGTGTAAATCCTATGCATCTATTTCAAATTGTTCGTATTTGAAATATTTGTTTTCAGCTCACCATCCTGGCCTCTCCATGGAAGCATCCGTTTACATCTGGTATTAGGACCATACACAGAAGTTGAGGAGGGGGATGGCTCTTCATATTCATGAAGCCTGCATATTTCTGTTGCTAATTCCTAATTTGGTCACTCCAGCTGCCTTCAACCATGAAGACTACCCTGCTGATGATGGTGATCAGATCTCAAATAACAATGATAACAATCTGATCTTCGATGACTATCGAGGGAAAGGCTGTGTGGATGACAGTGGCTTTGTATACAAACTGGGAGAGCGCTTTTTCCCAGGGCATTCCAACTGTCCCTGTGTCTGTACTGAGGACGGGCCTGTTTGTGACCAACCAGAATGCCCCAAAATCCACCCAAAGTGTACTAAAGTAGAACACAATGGATGCTGTCCAGAATGCAAAGAAGTGAAGAACTTTTGTGAATACCATGGGAAAAGTTACAAAATCTTGGAGGAATTTAAGGTAAGACCAAATAATTGATGGATGAATGGACGGATGGACTGATTGACCAGTTGATGATATAGCTAAACATATTTCTATGTGCAGTACAAAATACAATACTAATGACATTTCAGTTGCAGCTTCTTTCTGAATGCATTAATGTGTAGTCTAAATGGTAAGTGGGGAAAAATGAATTCTGCTACTAGTGGCTGATCCATGAGGTAGTTAATATTAGAGAGATTAATGTGTTATCAGGGTGGAGCTGATGGTTAATTTTACTCTCTCTCTACCAATGTAATGTTTTAATTGCAGCAATTTATGCACAACGTAGATGAGTAATGCATAGATGTGGACTATGTGGACTTAAGTACCTTAGAGGTGCTCAGAAACATGTGCCAGCCCAAACATCATTTTTCAAGAAAGAAAGAAAGCAGCAAACACAATTATCCTTCTGTCTCCTACCACCCCCACCACAACCACCAAAAAAGGAACATTTCAGTTCTTTGGCTGTTTTGGAGTTCCCAGGAAGATCTAAAGGTTCACTGAGAAGCACAGTCTTTCCACTTTTGTTTGGTGTGCAGTTGTGGCCCTGTGCATGCATTTGTGATAAGACAGTTGATTGAGAACACTAGGCCTACAGGCAATGCTCGAGGAAATATGTTTATCACAAACACCGCACAAAAATTATCAAAGTGATACTCATGTCCTATATTTGTTCTGAAAGACTAGATGTTTCCATTATGGCATTTTAATTCCACACACCAAATGGCAGAAATTTATTTTCATTAAATAAAATCCAAGTGAAGTTAAGTTACCTTCTGGAACAGAAATCATTCCACTTACACTGGCAAATCTGACAGGGAAAAAAGCCATGTGGCCCTTGTACAAAATCCCAAATGAAGGGTGGTTACTACCTTTATTGAGAACCAGTGTGACATAGTATTTAAAGTGACCATGACTCAGGAGACCTTCTTAGGGCCACTAAACTATTAAAACATGGGGAAGTTCTACCCAAATTGCTTGAGGAAAAGCATGATACCTTAGGCTGATGCAACAAGCTTGGAATTTCCATCTTCAGATACTACTTTAACAGACAGTCTGAAACGCCAACACCTGGGCAAGTTAATTTGGGGGCATTTTCTTGTCACTACCCCTAAAACTGTACAATGTACAGTATGTATAAGGAACTTGATTTTAATGTTTTAGTTGTCCCATAAATGTAGGAAACAGTCCTGTTTTGGCCATTCTTAGGATCAGGTTGTTTTCTAATCAACATCATTTGAGCCCTATAAACTATTGTGAGGGACGTGGTGGCGTTGTGGGTTAAACCACAGAAGCCTCTGTGTTGCAAGGTCAGAAGACCAGCAGTCATAAGATCAAATCCGCACAATGGAGTGAGCTCCCGTCGCTTGTCCCAGCTCCTCATCAACCTAGCAGTTCGAAAGCATGTAAATGTGAGTAGATAAATAGGTACCATCTCAGTGGGAAGGTAATGGCGTTACGTGTCTAGTCGCGCTGGCCACATGACCATGGAAACTGTCTTCGGACAAATGCTGGTTCTAAGGCTTAGAAACGGGGATGAGCACCGCCGCCTAGAGTTGGACACAACTGAACTAAATGTCAAGGGAAACCTTTACCTTTACCTTACACTATTGTGAAGCATATTTTTGCATGTAAATCTGCAAATGGGAAAAGAAATGAAATATATTCATGAGTGACGAGTGGGCCATCTAGCTTAAAGTGTTGTTGTTGCTGATGATCATCATCATCATCATGAAACATAAACTCTATCTGCAGTTCTTTGGCAGATTCCCCCCCCCCATACTGAAGATAATTGAACTGACATTGTCAAAAATGATTTATGGATCAGAAACATTGAACCACAGGCAGCTAAGCTTTTTGATCATTATGAACTTTTTGGAAACAGTCTTTTGTTTTGCAGACCATAATCTTGCTCAGTCAAACTGCTTGTACCCAATCTGCTGGGCATCTAGTTCAAAGTTTTTCAGACTTACTCAAGGAAGTATCCAGCATCCTTCTGACAGAGTGATTTGCAATAGCAAGCTAGAGATTTCCAGAACTCCACAAGCAGAACATTACAGTATAAAAAGGGAAAGAGTGGCAATCCTTAGCTGATAAAAATATTTCAAATCTTAGATTTTCAAAAAATGTGAGACTTTTTGTGATTGTTAAGGCTGAACTGTTGAAAATATGTTCTGTAACTTATATATAAATCTGAATATTTGAAAGTGTGGTGGCAGCAAGGAGTATCTTATAGGACATATGTATTACATATATTTTCTGGCCATAATTCAGGAGAAGATATACTCTCTCCCACAAACTGAACAGGCTGAGGCTTGAAATTTTAGTAACTCCGCCGGCCCTCTGTAGACAACAAATAGATTGCCATACTCTACAGCACACGGGGTTCAGTCTGGACAGTCTGATTAGCTGGATTCCACAAGCCAATGACACAAGCCCACTTGGTGACATGACTCCGAGGCTTTTCTGTGTATTGGATAATGTCACATCTGAAACAATTTACAGGAGGGCATAAAGGAAGCATAGGTATAAAAACACACAAAAATTTTAATGCATTCTTACATGGAATGTATAAACTGTGTTACTTACCTTAAAGATGTGGCTATGGAGCTACTGTTTGTCCTTACATTCTGTGGATTTTCTGGGAGCTCAGAACAAGATTCTTCAGTACAGAATGGCAATCATATTGTTGCTGTCTGTGAACCATCATTCATAAGTGGGATGTGAGGGCGATCTGGCTGCGACATCTGTCATCCCATTGATCGCTAGGGTTGATTCGGCTGATCTGGCTGGCTAGGTGGGTGTCCCCTTCCTCCCTCACTGCTCCATGTGCGTCCCTCCCAAAGCTGCATGCTCAGTGAAAGAGGACAACCATTCCAGCTAGAAGGAGTGTACCATTCTTCGGTCAAGGATATCATATATGAGTATCTGTAAAGAGTTGGAGCAAACAGAAGGATTCTTTTAGCAAAGGCTACTTTGAACCAAGATGGTGTTGGCTTGCTCATCCCTACTACTAATATAGCAGTATCCATTAGCATACTTAAAGTATACAGTTGTGCCTAGACACGGATTGCTACATTTTCAAAGGATTGCTTCCTATGAATAACAAATAGAGTTGGCACAAAATGCCATCCAATTTCAAAAGCAAGAAAAAGGAATATTGAGAAGTCTGACGAAATTTCTCAGAGATAGCTAGCACCACACAGTGCATGAAATGTTATGCTGAAGAAAACAGTAAGACCCGCCTCAGAAATGTTATGGAAAACAAAAAAGGGTTTTGAGAGAGTAGCAAAATGATGCAACTGGAATAGTAGTTTTTACTGGCCTCCTTATTAACATGCCATATCCTTCATCCAGCTACATTTTGCTGTTAACAGATTCCTGTAATGTGATCTTAGAAATCATTGCAGATTACTTTCAAGTAAATATGCTCTGTGATGCAGCATTAAAGGGTTCTGATTTCTCAGTTCTTAGAAGTTATAACAATGTCTTCCAGAAAACTGGATAATGAATGCATTTACCTAACAGCAGGCAATCATTCCTTACAAGTTCTGAAATGTATGCAAGCCAACTTGAGATATGGGAAAAAACCAAAACAATATTGTGAACTGTTCCCTAACCCAAAGCTATTGCTTCCTATTGCCTCATTTTAAATTCCATTTGGTCCCCGGTGTATGAAGTTTGTGTTGGAAGATAATGAATAAATAGTTTCATCTAGTTTCACGGAAGAGTTTGTTATCATATTTTCTTTTCCTTTATCCAGTTCAGCGGAGGATCCCAAGTAATGCATTATATCAAACGCATCATAAATGATTCTTCTTCATGATGTTGAATTGCTTTTCTCTGATCTCAGCTTTTCTTTTAGAACAGACAATCTAATTTAATAACACATTTCACAATTCTTCACTATTTGTTAGATTTTTAGTCAGTGGATAGAGCTCAAAGACTCCTTCCTTGGAAGACTAGACCAAATTTCTAACTTTCAGGGGGGAAATGAAGCAAAAGAGTCACAGAGGAAGTTATTTGTAATAGATACAACGTGGTCCATGTCATGGGTGATAATGATGGAAAACCAGCTATGGTTTCAAAATGGTCTGCTCCCATTTAGTTCCATTTCATGTCCAGTTAGTGATGTGGTGAACCAAGCTTACAGGGCTGAAGGACCAGGACTTGTTGAGGAGCAGGGATGCTTCTGTTGTTTGCCACCTCCCAAAAGCTTCCTTGTTCCCTCTTCCGCTGTGATCTCCACAGTACTGGAGGGTATGGTACATCTTCCCCTTCATGGATTGCTGCCTTGTCGTGGCGAAGGGTCTTGAGTAATTCAGAGAAGCTATGGGCTATGCCGTGCAGGGACACCCAAGACGGAGAGGTCATAGTGGAGAGTTCAGACTAAACGCGATCCACCTGGAGCAGGAATTGGCAAGCCACTCCAATATCTTTGCCAAGAAAACTCCGTGGACAGAAACAAAGGCTAAAATATATAACGCTGGAAGATGAGCCCCTCGGATCGGAAGGCATCCAACATGCTACCGAGGAAGAGCGGAGGACAAGTACAAGTAGCTCCAGAGCGAGTGAAGTGGTTGGGCCAAAGCCAAAAGGACACTCAGCTGCGGATACGCCTGGAACTGAAAGGAAAGTCCAATGCTGCAAAGAAAAATACTGCATAGGAACCTGGAATGTAAGATCTATGAACCTTGGTAAGATGGATGTGGTCAAACAGGAGATGGCAAGAATAAACATCGACATCCTGGGCATCAGTGAACTAAAATGGACGGGAAGGGGCAAATTCAATTCAGACAACTACTATATCTACAATTGTGGGCAAGAAGCTCGTAGAAAAAATGGAGTAGCCCTCCTAGTCAACAAAAGAGTGGGAAAAGCTGTATTGGGATACAATCTCAAAAATGAAAGAATTATTTCAATATGAATCCAAGGCAGACCTTTCAGCATCACAGTCATCCACGTTTATGCACCAACCA